GATCCCAATGAGAAAACGGAGGGCAACCATGATATTTAGTCCAGTACTGCAATTGTTCATGCCACATGTTCTGAAATTGTGCGAAGCTGGGAAAAAACGTAGAGGAGGCGTTGGCAGTCTCAAAGATGCGCAACTTGGAGGGCAAGTTCAACTCATGGATACCAACTGCAACATGTTGATGGACACCAAAACAATGAATTGAAGGATCAAAATGTTTGATTTTGGCAATCAATTGAGAGCACGAACATGTCAACTGGGTCGGATCCTGTACAGGGTGCTTGTGCTCATAGTGCTTGTGATTGTGTAGAAAACCTGAAAGTGTCTGTGCTGCAGCTTCCCTCAGTTTTGAGGTTGGAAGATGCAACGGAATTGCAATTTCCTTGTACTGTAGGACATGATTACGTAAAAATCTTGAAACTTGTGCTGAAAAATCGGAGTGTGCCAAAAATGGCATAGTCGCTGGACGATTCAGTTTTGGTATCGTCATATTTCTGAACTTCATGGCTGATGCAAGAAGTCGAGACCAGTACTTAACAGCAAGTTCAACATGAACAGGAGTACCATCTTTGGCCAGTCTGTACTTGGCCATTCTATTGAATTCCCGCTTGGCCATTCCAATGGATGTGGAGCCGATATAAAATCTGCCAGCTTGTTTGTACGAAAGTGAAGTGGAGTTGGGAAGGTTAAACTGCATTTTAAGATAGGTGACAGCTGTACATTGAAAGAATACAAAAGTGTAACTCTCTGGATTAATACCAAGGTTCTGCAGTCTTCGCTGCCAAACCGCGGTATGATACGTGCGTGATCCAAAATGGAAAAGACAAATGAGATGAAGCAAACCAAGGGCCCAAATTGCACAAGACTTGTTGACAGCAGGGACAGAGTGCACGATCTCAATAAATACGGATCTCAAAACTGTGATGTAATCCAGAACGGCTTTCGGCCGATGTTTGGAAACATCCATAGCTAGTCAAGCTGTAAGAGCTGCTCCAACAGCAACTGCCTGTTGGAGACTTGTGATGCTGAGCTTGAGGACAGCACTTAAATTAAGGCCATATTGAGTGCTGGCCTGTTGCAACTGTTCCTTGGTGCATTTAGCAGCCTTTATGATATCCATGATTTTCTTGGACATCTGCTGGGTTTCCAGGTTGAAATTCTGTGTCCACTTCTTTACATTGGCTGCAGTGGTTCCGGAAAGCTGATTCTCTCTGAGATTTGGGGCCTTTGGCTCCAAAATCTCCTGAATTGTGATTTCTGTCGGAGAGTGCGTGGCAGAGGTCTCATCTTTTGGTGACGCAGCTGCCTTGCGGAACATAGGTGCCAGCTTTCTTTGCTTTGGCAGCGATTTCGGAGAAGCCCCTAATGCCTCGCTAGGTCTCTTCCTGTGAGAAGTAGAAACAACAGCAGGAGAAACAGGAACAACAGAACCAGCAGAACCAGGACCATCAAGATCATCAGTTGGCAATTTGGGATCAGGGGCAAAAGTGCCGGTGGTACGCCGTGATCTCTGGGGTGTATCCGGAATGCCTGCTTGTGCAAGCTTGGACTTGGCAGCTTGAAGCTTCGCTTCGGTCTCCTGGAGCCTTCGCATGGCTTCGGTATCCTGTTTTACAGGACACTGAGCCTTGAGTTTATCGGCTATGAACTGAACTAAAGGTGCCATAAACTCAATCGGTTTGTCCGTGCGATTGGGAATGCCCTGCAGGGGGGCCAACTGGCGATGGAGGCTTTCAGCCGTAGCATCGATATCAATTCCTTGATCACGGAATGTCTTCAAAATTTGGGAACCAAACACAGATTCAGCAACAGATTTCGCACAAATAATTCCAACAAATCTACCCTCACTGAGCGCTCGCAGCGCTGCTTCATCAGGTCCATGTCGAGTAAGATGACTGAGCGGGACGGAAAGTGGATCTTGGCCAGCAAGATTCCTCTTGCGACTCCATGCAGTCGGTTGAATTGATCTGTACAAACGGTAACCATATTGAACTTGATCATCCCAACATTGACTCGTGCTGCGCCAATTTGATGGTAAACTCACGGGCGGACTCGAAGACGGAGGCGGAGGTGGAGGAGACTGCTGCTGCTGCCATTGATTGTCCCAAGAGTTCCATTGGGACCTGTTCCAATACGACATGGCTGACAACGGAGAAGTTAACACGTCAACAGGAAGCCTAAGAACCCAAAACTGCAGCTATAACTGAAATAACAAAAATTGAAAAATCTGCAATTGGATGCGGCACGTTGATTCAACGCAGCATTCTGATGTATCGTCTTGTTGGACAAAATGGATCACAATTCCGATTGAGTTAAAATATGTACGTCTAAATCACAAATCGGAATGCATGGGTTGTCCATGCGGTTTTTTGGACATCTCAGCAAATGTCGATCGCACATGCAACGGAAATGAATTAAGCATACCGGTAACAAGTCTGATGGAGAAACGGGCAGTTCATATTGAAGCAAAATTCCAATCAGACAAAAATAGAAAATGGTAAAAACAGCAAGGTTCAAAACGGAGTAGGGAATTAGTCTAGTGGGCTTTCAGCTGCCACTCTGAATGCAAAACCTAGGAGTTTGTGGGAGTTTTCATTAGTGACCCACATACGTCCTCTTTGATGGTGGACGCATCCGCCATTCATGGTTTTCTGCACGCATTCCCATTCTCCCCCTTGCTTTACGGCCTCAGCCGTTCCCCATCCTACCGCTACTGCCAGAATGTTACTTGTATTCTTTGCAGCGTACCATGCTGCATGTGTGATTCTGGCCATTTCTTTGTCATCCCAAGCTCTGTCGTTGGTTCTTTTAGATCCAAGACTGAAAAATGAGCAAGATTGGTTGTTGTGTAAACGGCTAGGTCCGATCTTTTGATCAGAAAAAATGCCTTTGATGCCTCCAATACTGCTAGCATGAACCAAATTCACATGTTGTACTTCCTGGAGGTTCATCGCAGGTGCAGCTCGTACTGGGTCTGGTATTTCTCTTTGAGAGAAATGTCCTTTGATAAGGTAAAAATGACTCTTGCCCAAATCAGTAGGATGATGTTCATGATCTTGAGGGTCATAAACAAGCAACTTCATTGTGGACAAATGATCAGGAGTATACCTGGTGGAGTCCAGAATTTGTGCAACGAATTTCACCATACTGTCCATCATCGGGTAGTCATCATCTTGATGATTTTTTAACCAAGATCGAATATTTGCCTGGTTCGGAGTGACTGGCTGACTGGTTGGTGTCATTTCGTGACGTCCTGAGCGATCTAATAGAGGGAAGGCTGAAAACGGTCTCAAGGGAGAAGGAGCAGGAACTCTGGGAGGAGGAACATGCGCTCTGGGAGGAATGTTTCCAACATACGGGTCCCAAAGACCAGTATGAATGTCCCATTGACCTGGTGGAGGACGGAGAGCTTGAGAGAAAGAAGAACGAGCCGTTCTAACTGACCTACCTCTTTCAGATCTCGGAGTGGACCTCGGAGAATGGTGACCACGATGATGGTGACGGTGATGGGATGCTCGATGACGACGTCTTGTTCTGGATCTGGAGCAACTTGATGTTGTGCGTCTTTCCTGTTTGTCATCATCTGTTCCAACCGGCACCGCAGGTTGGACTGCTGACGGTCGACGAGGTACGGAGATCGTTCCTGGAATTGCGGCTGGGGCTGCTACCGGAGTTGCTGGAGGAGCATGTGGTGTCAATGCCAGTCTTACTGCTGGCTTCGCCGGTGCTTTCGGTGGCCGAGGTGGAGTCGGGTCCACGTTGCCGGCCACAAAGTAAACATTATACACCGGAGTCGACATGGCTCAGAAATCTAGAGAAAGGAAAATGGAAAATGTGTTGTCTAATATGACAACTTGTTAACTGTACAAGGATTGATCAGTTAGACAACTAACAAGTGATAACGTATTGTTGCTTGCTCAACTGTACACCAAAAGGCATTCATGTGTACAAACACAATTCATCCATTTGGAATTCAATGCTGAGGCTTCAAGTGTGGAATTCAGAAAATTCATCTTATTGGTGACTATCAGTCGCCAAAATTGTCAAAAGTCAAATTCAAGTTCAAACTCAGTGGATTCAAGCTATTTTTGCCGGATAGCATACCGGGATCTATTCTCTCAAATGCACGCTTTGTGTCAGAGACACACGTTCAATCATTGCAATGAGCCACCGTGGCTGAATTCAAGAGTCAAATTCACTTGTGGATTCTCGCACCCCCAGGGGAGATACGACGCCTGGAATTCCAGGATCACGACCGGACTTTGACAGATCCCACGGCCGAAATACACACTTGCGAAGTCATGAAAGACGGTCTCTTTTCATGAATGCAAAGTCTGATTACCTCATGGTAGATTGAAGGCATCACTCGGCCATACCGAGTTAAAAAGGCCAAGCTTATCCGTTGACATTTGAATGTCAGGTTGTTTAAAAGAGAAACCAATACGACTCAATCAAACGTGATCATGAAATGACTGAATGACGGCATGCAGGTTCTTGGGTTAGCCTGATCCCATAAAGTACTAACAGATACGAATATGACCACCAGCTATGACCCCAACATATTGGGTATGTCATCCAGGTGCATCATGCAGGTACGTTTTCACAACCTAAGGTGAGTGTCTTCATTGGCACAAGACTCACCAAAGGTCCTTGTGCCCCCTGCTATGAATTAAAATGCAACGGTATCCAAAATTTATGGTGGAAAGCAGTTGAAAACTAGTTGGTTGGAATCAGTCGCAAGAAAGTGAGGAACTCTTTGGTACAGAGCTTGACACACACACACACACTCATACATCTGTACGCGACCTACAGAGTAAAGGAACAAACAGTCAAATAAGCAACCAATAGTGAATATGAGCATTATGCATGCATACATGACTGCATTTTTCACTTATATACAGATGAGATGGACATACGCACACGAACACAGCGCGCCATCAAAGGAGGATGCTTAGAAGAGAAGAGGATGGCCGGTTTTATGTTTTGAAGCTTCAGCACCTTGAGGCCAGTAGTCCAGCTGATGATGCGAAAGGATGCAGAAGCCAACATCGAAGTCTCCGAAAGAAAGGCAAATCTCAGATGGAGTTTCGCACACAACACATCTTTGATTTTGATGTTTAGATAGGGAATTAAAATGAATTAAGCATATTCCATTGAAAGTCGGTGATCTTGAATGAAGCCTTCAAGATGACTATGAATTGGAAGCTTGTTGCCTTTGGTCCACACAGGCCTCGTTGATTGCAGCTTGAAACATCAAATGAACATTCCCCATTCTACCCATTCTGTATGTCTTGCAATTGACAACTATGGACGAGAGTGAAATGCACTGCGCTAAATCTTATGTACCCAGAATGCCGGAACAAGCAACGGCAAGCTGTAGCTCTAGCTAGTTGATACTAGATCTCTACAGCTGGCAGGTGACCATGTTCTTCTCTGACATCGCGAGTTTTACGACCATCGTCGAGAGCATGCCACCACAAAAATCATTGCTTCTGCTGAGCCGCTATTTTCAGGTGCGCTGGGACCTAGTCAGCATCATGGATCTCAAAGAGGAGATGTTAACAATCCCAAACATGCCCACTGTCCACCCAGAAACACCTGAAGCATTGTGACATAACATGACACTGCAGATAAGGACATGCAGATTACCAAAGTTACTAAACCATGACCAGAGGATGTGCTCAAAACCATCCTGACCAAGCTCTGCGGCAGGAGATGTCCAAAATTGTGGATCAACATGGCGGAATCGTGGTGGAGTTCATAGGTGTCTTGTGCTGCACGGCGGACGAATGTGGGAATGTGGTAGGACTGGTAGGATCCAACCGCCTGCGATTATATAGGATATCATAGGATATCATAGGATATCTGTGGATATTATAGGATGATTCTGACAACAGTAGCTACGCATAGCTACGCTAAGGAAGTAAGCAGCAACCGTGCTTCCTGCCAAAATTTATCAAAATTTCAAAAGCAGTCCCACCATGTCCCACAAAGCGCCGAAAACTTAGTGGTTGTGGTGCCCAAAGCTTCAAAGATCATGGGCCTTCAACATGGAAACCCAGACCCAGGAGATTCCAGTGACAACAATTTAATGTACACTGCCAGGCGATGCCATCCTTTGCATCTATGGGGCACCGGTGGTGAACGACAAACATCCAACTGTTGCTGTGATGGCGGCAGTGCCTGGGGCTGCTCCAGTTTTTATGGGGGGTCTGTTGGGGTTGAGCTCTGGCCCTTCACTTCTTCTTCCAGGGGATAGAACATATTTCCAAAATTTGAAATGATTGGTTTCAGGGCACGGCAAAGTCCGGTTCGGATCTCTTGATGACTCAATTTTTTTAGGTGGAGATGCTTGCCGCGATGACCGGGATCAATCAGTGGCTACATCGGCGAGGCTTGCCAACGCCGCATGGATGCAATATTTCAGATACGCCATATTGCCCCCAATCAACCATGCGTACATCAGGTGAACATCTCTAACTTTTACGCCTTCAATTCTTCAGCAGCAACCCCTAGAAAAAAACCTTTCTAAACATGGATGAGCATGACGAAAGCCCTCTGTGTGACCAAGGATTTCCATTCGCTGCGGGATTCACACCGGCGAGGTCTTGGTAGGCAACATGGGCCACTTGGATCAGAATCCCCCATTTAGCCAATCTGCAGCCACTTTTAAGATCTCGTAAATCTCGTAAGTAGGGCCAGGTAGCCACCACCAAAGACAAAAACAGCAGCATCCACAGCTACACCAAACTAGAAACACGTAAAACTGTAGGAGTCACATCAAATATCCAGATGAAGAGCAACAATGGCAACAACAGCAACGGCAACAGCAACAGCAACAGCAACAGCAACAACAGCGACAAAAAAAGACAACCATCCACAGGTTCCAACACAGCTGTGGAAACATAAGCGTGCATCATGAACATAGCAATTAAAAATAACATCCTCTGCAAATAAGCTTTGGCTCTATCGGTTCAATAGCTACACTGCACATGCCAGGTTCGTGCTTAAAACAACTGTAGTTCAACTGCACTACCCCAAGCCACAACCATCGAGGAATGCAGCTCCAAAATGCTGAAACACCATGGGAATAACATTCTCAAATGCCGCAAAAAACGATACAAATGTAAAGTCTAGTTCCAACATGCTGCAAAGGCCATGAACATGAGGTTCCAATGCCAAAATTCTCCAAACACATCAATGAGAGTCTTTAGCCCCAGAAGGCTGGAAATACCGTGTAGAAAGGAGCCCAAGAACAGTGCAGTTGATTCTGCGCCCTATCAAGGGTTGTCGATTTCATTGCACTTGTTCTTTGCGATGTCGCCGAAAACGTTGTATTTGTGGCATTTTTGGAAATGCCGATGAACATTCATGTTGTTATTTCGATGACAGGCGCATGACTTGATAGTGAAAATGAGTATTTCGCCACAGCGAAATACTAATTTGTGATCGAGGGGCTGAGAAAAAACATTATATACAGTATATAGAATTTGTGTGGTTTAATTAAATGATATGAGCAGCCACTTCAGAAAATTCTTTCTCAACATCAGCGCCACAGGATTTTGTTCAGGCTCCTCAAAGTCAGGTTGTTCTCACACTTGGCATTGTGCCTCTACACATAGGAGTATGCGCATGTGTACTGCATGGTATGTAATTACTGACGAATTCACTTTTTGTTGCAAACTTTGAGGACGCCACCTCTTCAAGTGACGCCACGTGGAGTCTAGCTGTATTCAGTATAAGTACGCAAGTGTACATGAACGTATCACAGCGTAGCACTCCATGGGTACGCAAGTGTACGTCAACACATCATAGCGTAGCAGTAGCAAGTACGCAAGTGTACATGAACGTTATTAGCCCACCCCACCCCAGTAGGCAGTCGTATCACGACTGCATGACCAACGTGGATACCCAAGATATCAATAGATATCAGATATCAAAAAATCGACACACCCTCACAGGGCGCCGTATCAACCGCCTGCCCCAAACAAGAAAACCATTCCCGACGAGTCCCATCAAATTTCAGCCAATTTCTAAGACCAGGACCAGCGATCCCAGAATGGCTGCAGTTGGGTCATTATAATTCCACATACTGTATATATTATATAAATATATATAAATGATAATTGGATATAATTGGGGCATGCAGTAGTGTTGACTCCCTGCGTGGATCTGAAATTTGCCCAGTGGAGCTGAGGCATGCAATACCGGATAAAGTATGGCATAGCAACTTGGCAATGGCAGAGCCACTCCACTGGCTCACTGGATGGAAGTCGTTTGGCCATGCCTTGCTGATTGCTCTTATTAGCAGCATATTAGCATTCAGTAGCCAGATCTTCCTTAGTTGCAACCTTTCTGGCTCTTTCCAAGGTGGGGGACGAAACGAGCATGCCAGGGAGACTAGAAGAGTTGAACAAGACCTATGGCACTCAGAGCCATGGCTGAAAAGTTGCAGACACGAAGCATGTGGTCGTTTTCGTTCAAAAGCACATAGACCAACACAGACATATCGTATCATATCGTATCATATCATATCATATCATAATATAATATCACATCATATCATGACATATCTACTGTCATATGCAATCATATGCATATATTGACAGATGCACCTTCACATGCCTGCTTCCAAGAGTTACTTGTCCAAGCTAATCTTCAGAATTGCTCAGCAAGTCTAGCATTTGATCAGTGGTGTCCCTCTATTGCTAGCCGATGCTAGCCGGGGGTAAGCAGGTTCAAGACCGTTCTCGAAAGGTTCTCGCAACCATTGCTCGAGGCTGCTGGTCTCAGAGTCCACACATAGCGAGATGGAAATCGAAGGATTCGTTTCTCGACCCATTGTGGCTTGGCATCGCACTCATTTGAAACGTGACAAGCTGCTTGACTCTGTGTGATGACATATTCTGACCGCTTGACTGGCCAGAACGTTGATACGCTTGCGAGACTAAGGACTTCATCCGCCCAAGTGAATCCGCTCAGGAAAGGGAGAGTCAACAGAAGCTTGGAGAGAAGCGGAGCAAAGCTGTGCAACGACCAAAGCAGAACTCAACATGAAGTCAGACATATTCTTTTCCCACAGGCTGGTTGATTCAGTATACAGTAGAGTTGCACCCCTCCAATTTTTAACTCCAATGCGTTATCAGGTTATCCATTAAAGTTTGCAAAATTGGTTCATCTCTGTTTCATATTTGCAGGACATCACTGCATGGAATGATGTCACTCTAACATTCAAGTTTCTCCCGGAGAAGTATGATGAAATGTGTCCGATCATCAATATACTGCCGTAATACTGCCTGGCTCTGAGGATTTTCGAGGTTTGGAAGAGCAACAAGAAGCCATCAAAGGTCAGGATCTCGATGACCATATGTGGCCATGAAAGATACAACCAGCATTCGAAGTCTCGGGGCACGCTACATGTCCATACCGTAAGACCTATGAAGATTATGAAATGATTTGCCTCACAAAACTTCACCGTTGGTCCCATCAAGTGGTTTGAACAAATCACAGGAACCCTCTTTTTTTGGGAGGTACGAACATGTAAACATCATAGTTTCTCGGAGAATTTCCATCAAATAATTTCATTGGAACGTGTTGGGACCCATTTTTTGGCATTTGGCCATCTGTTTCAGGCTTCTCTGGAAGAAAAGGCGACAGATATGTATGCGGAGGGCATGCAACATTACAGGCACAGACGATTTTCAGAAGTGCCTTGGCCGCCTTGGCCGAGAGGCCATCAAGTAATTGGGAAGTATTATATATAATTATATATATATAAATAAATTTAAACATTATCAAAGCCATGGAAAATCATGGAAAATCCCTTTCTGAAAAAAGGATTCTCAATGATTTTTTATGATTTTTTACTGACTGGGGAGTAATTGTGAATATCAACAGGACATATTTTCAGTTGCAATTTTCGCGTTGGACAGTTCATATTCTGACTCCACCAGCAACGATAGTGTGACAAGTGTGTTGTTCTAGTTTTAACACATCCGAAGTCTCTAGGATGAAGGTTTTTGTTTTTGTTTTTAAAATAATTTTGATACGTTTCAGACTTTCAGATATGATTTGTTGTTATGATTTGTTTATGTCTTGGTTTTGCTGTTATGTTTTTGATATGGTTTCAGTTATGATTTTGATATGGTTTCAGTTATGATTCTTGATGTGGGTCAAACTTGTGATTTGAAGCCAACCCATCCGAACCATATCCAAAATATTCCAAAATCGTATCAACACCATATCAAAATCGTATCAAAAGCGTATCAAAATCGTATCAAAATCATATCAAAACATATCAAAACCACAAAAACCTTCGACAAATCGACCAAAAACCAGTCCCTGGGCTGTTTCTGTTTCTTTTTTTGAAGCTAACTCACTGGAACCATATCAAAATCATATCAACATCGTATCAAAATCGTATCGAAATCGTATCAAAATCGTATCAAAACCATATCGAAATCATAACCCCAAATTCAAAGCATATCAAATTCATATCGTCAAATCGTATTCAAAACCATATTAAAATCGTAAAAAACATATTTCCTGAATTCCGCATCCTAGAGGGATTCCGGGCTGGTAATTCTAGTTTGTGGTCCGCTGAGCTGTTATGCGTTCCCTGAGGCGAAGGATTGTTTCACCACTGCTGGCAAAGCCATGCACAAACTCACCGGCACACAGGACTGCCATAGGATTCACTTGATTTTGTGGCACTGTAGCTTGATCCAAATCCAGGTTTTTCATGGTTTTTCCAGGTTCATAGGTTCTAGGATCAGGGCAGCCTTAATTACAGCTATTCTGATGGTTGATGCTTGCTGAACCAGGACACAGCTTCAGCTCTGATGCTGAACCGCTGCCTCTTGACTGAACAAAACGCTCTCAGCTGTTGCAACAGACTGACTCCTCTTTCGAACCTGTCAAGATCGGACTTTGGTTTCGCATTGCCTAAGGTGCGTCATATTTGGAAATGCCGCCGCCCGAAAACTGGGATGGGGTCACTTGGCATTCTCAGTGACACCATGTGCCACCACTTTTGCCACCGCCGCTTTTGGCAGATGTGAGTTCAGGGGCAATTTCGGTGCTGTGGTGCTTCGAATGATGCATGCACAAATTTTCATTTGTTCATCCTCATCACTATCCCGTCCAACTGCAAAATCAGACCTGGCATACTGGCATACCTGGTCGATATTTTGAAGTGAGAACAGACCAAGCGGGTGCAGCAAGCGCCCCAAGATGGTAAGGTCCAGAGTCAGGAGCGGAATCGACAAAGCAGAAGGAAGTAAAATTCACTATAGTCGCTGTATCAACCCTTGTTGGCGCGTATTCAGGTTTGGGACCGCAGCAGCTGAACTCGACGACAGTAGTGTAGGTGACTCCGGCGGTAGCAAGTCTTTCCACTCTCCAGGCATTTCCATTTCAGATCTTTTTTTTTTAAATATATATATATATACATTTATATTTAGCATCTTATTCTAGGATGATGTGTCCATATGCTTCCCGTGGCAAGGCGATTCCATAAAGATCCATATTTAGATCGGGGATAATTCCAGTGGACGATGCCTGAGAAGATGCTGGAAGTGCCGGACGAGCACAAAACACCTGGAATCAAGAGGGCCTGTCAGCTAGTCGACAGGCTCTGCCAACCCAGCAATAACTTCTCCGTGTGAAATTCCTGTGTTTGCTTGGCAGTCATGAAGCTATGAAGATCTATGAAGATCTATGAAGATCTATATGGTCAGATTTTGTTCCCATGTTTGGTTTGACGGTGTCTGACATCACACGAGCCCTTCATATGCCGAGAGTTCACTTGATTCCAGGTGTCCATCATGACATGTCAAACTCTACTCCAAGAGTTGTGCACATGAATCCCAGGAAGCACTCTGCGATCACAAAGGTGATAGGTTTTGGTGTTGAAGACCTGCATTTGTTGTCAAATCATGTCAAACGTGACTGGATTGTTTTAAAAGATAACCTGTGCGTTGTTTTTAAATGGTACATACCAAAAAGCTGGGTGGATGTGGGATCATTTGTAACCCAAAAACAGTTGAGCACTGCTTCTTATGTCGCTTATTTTGGTACAGTAGTCGTTCTGACCCCCACGCCAGACTCATTTGTTGGCGGCAAAAGGTACTAAGAAGAAGAAAGGCAGAGCGAGTCGTTGCTAGAAGATGTATCATGATGTATCCCCTTGAAGCAGTAACACGGGAAAAAGCTTTCTTGCAGACCTACTAGCGCAAGCTACAGCCTTGAGACGAACTGTTTTGATCTGTTTTGGCGATTTGTGGTCGAAGGGAACACCATGGAAAAGGTGCCGGCGTTGTATTGCGCTCGCGCGGGGGATATTTTTGACACAGGTTCAACAGTGTTAGGCCTGCAGCGAGGAAAAGTTGCGGTGCAAGATGAATGTCGGGAGGTCATCCCTTCTCCCAAGAAAACACAGCCCCAGATTCACAATGATTTACCACTCGCAATTAATTATTTCATAGTGCTGTTATTGCGCTCATGACGTGTCATGTCAGTGTTTGCGTAACCCCGTTATGGTTTTAGGTTCAGGCCCCTCTTGGCAGAGGAATTTTTGTTGTATGGAAGGGGCACTGCAAGATGGTGCAGCCCTAAGTAGCCCGGAAGATCCTGGGGCTATCCTGGGGTTGCGGCGCAGCATAGGCGTGTACAGGTGCCAAGGAGAGGGCAGTTGAAGAAGCTCCCGCATATGTTGATCCCCACCAGGGACATGGGAGAGGCGGAAGAGGAGCTGGAGTTCATGGGAGCTCCTACCGTAGCACAGATTACGGCAACAGCCAGCCCGGACAGGACTAGGAAGGCGTTGCTGGGGAAGTTCAGAGCGCCCACGGTGAAGCGCTACCCAGCGTACTGGCAAGGCTTCCGGAAATGGGTCGTGGCCACCTATGGGAGGCCCCCGTGTCAAGGGGAGCGCAGTTGGTGGACTACCTTCTTGCCTGGGAAGAAGATGGCATGGGGGCATCAGTCCCGCTGTCAGTGGGCAAAGGTGTTAGTTCGAGAAGTTTGCGAGAGGCGAGTGATGGATGACACGAAGGGGCATCGGCTCAGAGCAGGGGCCTTCGTGAAGCTTCTGAAGATCTGGGCATCGCTGAGGTTCGACGACGCAGCGCATGTGAGGATGGATATGATCAGGTCATACGACAAGAAAGTCTCTGCTTAGTGGTCCCGGCGGGCACCAGCCAGGGATCGGCCACGGGAAACTATGTGATGACCTACCAAGAGGCAATGTCGTGGAGGCCCTTTTGAACTTCCTCCTCCTGGCCATCCAGCACCCATGCTTGCCAGCTCTATGCGATCTCCCCCGGTCAATCCGGTTGAAGACTACGATGAAGCCTTCATCTCTCTCTCTGAGTCCAACTTCTCAACCTTCTTTCTCTTTGCGCTGACAGTTCCACGGCTTGTGGTGGCGCTGTCGCTTGATGAGCTTGAAGACCCAGCCGGCCATACCCGCTTGTCATAGATCTCCTCCTGCTGGTGGTTTAATTACTTGCCCACCATGCCCCTGAAGCTCGTCGCTGGCCTCAGCTTTGTCTTCCATTCATCCACCGCGGCATTAGCTTCTCTCTGCTCCACAGCCCATTTCTCGCATAGCCAGACCTTGAGGCCTTCCAGGATGGAGCCCTCGTCAAAGGCTAAGTAGCCCTTTCCTGCCTTTGACTGGGTCGGCAAATTTTGCCTGCATCCGGATGACCACTGCGTTGTACGTCCTAACGTGCTGGTCAGACCCTTCTGAATCCACCTCCCCAACAATTTGCGATCTGACTTTGGAACACCCAAAGCTGCCAGCCCACTCGGTAGCGTGGCACGCCCACACACGCCCACTATGTTCTGTCCAGAACCGTTCCCACCCATGGGGAATTAGGAGCTCCCCTTTTCGGTCTCTCAACTCCTACGTCACCTCCGTGCACCCCGTACGAGGTTGAGCCGGATGTGGGTGAGTACAACGAGATGCCGGCTGTGCTGGCCTGAGTTCACATCCTTTGCTGTGTTAGCAAATTTTTCCAGCGTTGTGACCCCAGCGTGGAACCACTTCGCTATCACATCTCCCGGCACCTCGTTCCTCTCAAATAGGCAAATCCGCGTTGCCCTTCTCAAGGGCAGCTTCCTTCTACTCATCAGTCTTGTGCACCCTTTGAGCCCGAACTGCGTTTGGCCGCCGTTTGGCCCTTGGCCTACCATGATCTCTCTACAGAACCCTATCCCCCCTTGAGGAGAAACCTAACCTTCCCATGGGCTCCATGGGATTCCCGTGCACTCCAACACACATGCGCTGATTTTCCGGGACGCTCTGGCTCAATCCTGCCAACTGTTGACTTGGTGGAGGTGTTGAAGGACCACCTCGGCATAGACAAGGATCCAAGGGCTGCTGAGATGGAATCGGAGCTGGACACCAAGGAGTGGAGGAAGCCGGTAGGGACTTCCTGAGTGGTTGGCAATGAAGGCTGGCCTGGAGAAGATTGTGGGGACGCTTGATGAGAAGCTGACGCCAGCGAAGGAGTACGTGAAAAAGAAGCTCCAGGAAGTGGAGTCAGGAGACTACAGAGCGGAGGAGCTGTCGGAAGTGGTGAGCAGAGACGAGGTGGATCCAGATAGCCTGCTCCCCCGGTGGGACTCGAAAGGAAACCTGATGGTGAGGAGAGGTTCAACAAAGGCGAAGGAGCAGAGAACCCAGAGTCCCTCAGGCAGCGCCTCACAGGCATGCGCAATGCATACCAGATGGTGGCGCCCCGCCATACCAACCGCCCTGAGCTGCAGGGCGAATATGTGAAAGTTTTTGAGGACTTCAAAGGCTACCTGCTTGGTGAGCATGTCTTTGGGTTGTATGCCAAGGACGCGGATAGCATGCAGGTTGGTGCTCTCAAATGAGCGGGCCATACGGAAGGAGGCAGCCAAGAGGATGAATCAAGACGGAACCGCGTTCCCTACAGCGCTTCGCCTGGCGTGGAGAGACCCGACAGCCAAGGACAGGCACTTCACCACCCCGCTGGCCTTATTTGCCAAGAGGCCCAGTGGAGTCCAACCACCAGGCCAGGGAGAGTATGGAGAAGCAAAGGAACAGAGATTTGAGGCAAAGGGTGGCAAAGACAAAGGCCGGGGAAAGGGAAGCAACCTGAAAGAAGTTCATGGTGCTGTACCTCTTCTCGGGAAAGAAGAGAAAGAATTCGCTGGTTTGGTTTATCAGGCAGCTTGCAAAGAAGTTTCGCTATGTGCTGGAAGTGATCGAGGTTGACCCCCGGCATAGTCGGAAAGCGGATTGCTCGCAACCAGAAGTACAGCGCAAATGGTTGCAGCTTATAGATGCAGGGCTGATGGACGCCTTGATCATTACCCCGCCATGTTCTACTTTCAGTAGAGTGCCTTGGGCAAATGAAGAGGGACCGTTCCCTCTGAGACCTTCAGAGTGCTTGAGAGGTTTCACATGGAACTTCAAAAAGAGGAGTCGAAAGGCCATGCTGGGAAACATCCTGGCAGATTTTTCTTTTGAGGCCATGAAGAGACAATTCCGGAGGAGACGCGGAAAGGTAGCCTTTATGGAACAAGCGGAAGATTGGGTAAGACAAAGAAGGACAGGATACCCGGACATCGCCCTGAGGGGATTTTGAGGTTGCCCGGGGTGCAGAGCGTAGCCTTTGCCCAACTTGATTTCGGATCCCCCAGCGTCAAGCCAACCATGTTCCTGATGAGAACGCAGGGACCCTTTCACCCGGAGATGTATGAAAGGCCTCCCACAATTTGATGCCCAGGGTTAAGCCCAGGAGTGGTACCTGGGGCCCCTTCCCAAGAAGGCAGGCCAACCGCCAACCCTGACAACAGCAGCACAACAGTAGCAGCATGGCCACCAGCGCTCTGTGAGTGGGTCGCTATCCAGATCCTGGCCTCGTTCGGGCAGAACAGTGAGAAAGGGGGCAGCCAGGAGACAAAGAGTAAGAAAAGGACCTTTGAGGAGGACGAAGGTTCAGAAAATCCAGAAAAGAAGAGAGCTGCAGGGAGTGGCAGCAGGATACAGACCCTTTTGACCCAGGGAAGGGAGGAGAAGGCCCCCCAAGATGTTGCGTCTGGAAGGGTGCCAAGGTCCCTTTTCATGATGGGGGATGCCTGATGTCACCGGAGTTTCCGAGCTCTGCAGAAAAGATAGGGCTCAGAGCCAAGCTCAGGAGGCTGGTAGTGGAGGAAGCAGGAGGCGAATCAGCACTTGAGAGGGAATGTTTTTTTGCCATGGCGAGAGGAGAAAACGGCTGCAGGCTTGTGCAGAACAAGGGTTTGTAAGAGAGGCTCTTGCAGGCCATGGCAGAGTTCTGTGGGGATAAGGGAGGAGGAGTCCTTTCGGTAGCAGAAGGCCAGCCATTTAGGCTGAAGTTGATGGGAAGGCTGTTGGAGATGGCGGGAGACAAGGACTATGAGTTCTCACTCTGGCCGAGAGTGGCCGGCCACTAGGGGTGAAGCACCCGCTCCCGTGTACTCCAGTAGCTTTTTAGAGACAGGTGGAATGCGCGCCGAAGTTCGGTCCACATGAGGTATACATGACGGAGAAGCCCCATTATCCGTTGGCCAAAGAGCATGAGGATCATGTCAGGCAACACCTCGAGGAGGAAGTGAAGGAAGGGCTTATTGACAAGATGTCACGGAGGGCATTTGAGGAGAAGTTTGGAGAAGAAAGGGCTGTGGCAGCTTTTCCGGTCCTAGTGGAGGACGAGGCCGCTAGGAAAAAGCGGGTCGTGCACGACGGTTCACATGGTGTGAAAGTGAACCAAGGATTCGCTGCCTAGACAAGTTGCGCATGCCTGGAAGAAGAGAGAAGATATAGCCTTTTCCCTGATAGGGGATTTGGAAAGGCCCACAGATGCTTCAAGTACAGAGGGGATGAGCATGGGTATTTGGCATGCAAAGTGGCAGAAGATAAGGACGTGATATATGCCAACAGGGTTGGCACTTTCGGCATCACGTCCACTCCGTACTGGTGGTCAAGGCTGTCAGGGGCCCTAGGCCACTGCCTCCTTCTGTTCCCATCAAGGCGTTGTTGCATGCAGATGATTGGAAACGATGATTGGAAACGATGGGCATTGGGAAAGAAGGGAGAAAGGGGCAGGTCTTGCTCTTTGTGTTGCTTGCGGTACTGGGCTCACCGTTCAAGTGGAAGAAGCAGAGAGGAGGAATGGTCACTGGGTAGATCGAGCTGACCATTGATTTTGGGAGGCACTCTTTGGGCCAGAAAATAGGTCTGTATGGCTGGTGCCACCCCGAGACTTTGGGGGGGCTTGGCTTGGATGGAGAAGGCCGCTATCTGTTTGGGCAGCCGCAATCAGAGACCAAAGAGGAGAAGTCCTGATCCCCTGGGCAATACTATCCATGTTTGGTTGGGTTGCAGGCAGGCTTGGGGAGGGCGGCCGGATGGAGGTGATCAAAGGGGAGGAGGACAAAGGGTGATCACCTTTTACACGGACGCTAGGGCGTCAGATGAGGATGCGTGCATAGGTGGTTACCTGGCACTTTCATAAGACATGAAAGAATGCCCTTGGTTTAGTTTCAAGGTTGATGAGGTGATTGCCCGCATGGCTCAAAAAGAGAGGAGGCAGCCCAAAAAGGATGATAGCCGCCTTGGAACTACTGGCTACGATTGTGGCTGTCAAGCTATGGGGGGTGATGGCAGTAGAAGCAAGGGCGAAAGCTTTCACCTCTTCACCTCTTACCTTGAGTTTATCCAAAACTTTCCATCCTATCCTCTCAGGTCTCCTTATCTCTCTCAACTCCTCATTGAAGTCACCCCAATCCTCATTGCTGAGAGCATCAGCCTCAATGTTATCTTCTCTCCTTATCCATTCCAGATACAGCTTCAAGTCTCTGAATCTAAGCCCCTCAGTCAATTCCATCAGCAGCAAAGTGAGGGGGAACTTCGTGCTCATGGCTTTCAGGACTGCAAAGGCGTTACCTCTGTTGTCGCTCTACAAGGAGATCCAAGCTTTGAAGGAGCAGCGCTCTAGAGAAAAGAAAGACGGAAAATTTGGTAAAGCTTGCCAGAGACCCGTGAAAGTCCTCTCCAAATGGTGAGTGGCTGAATCAGGGAGTTGCCCCAAAATAGAAGCATATCTTTGGGGCCGGCACTCACCTGGGAGGCCGTGGTCAACGCTAAAAAGAAAGTGCGGATAAAACATTTGGGGTGAGTGAACGCGCTCATGACGTGTCATGTCAGTGTTTATGTAACCCCGTCATGGTTTTAGGTTCAGGCCCCCCTTGGCAGAGGAATTTTTGTTCCCTGCCACTCCCTCCCAAAAATTCCACTGGACGCTCCAGGGGCGGTGTATACCCCCTTAAGATGTTGGGGGGGTTGCCACAAGATAGAAACATATCTTTGGGGCCGGAACTCAACTGGGAGGCCGTGGTCCACGCTAAAAAGAAAGTGCGGATAAACCATTTGGGGTGAATGAACATGGGTATTAATATAATACAATGTTGTGTATATTATATGTATATCATATGTATACCATAGACACATAGCAATGCGCACTTCGGGGGCCAATCGTTCGGGTGGTTGATGGATGTGATTAGTTCGTCCAAATGAGAGGCTGGCAGCGGCCATCCCTTCGATGAGGTCGGATATGGGTCGAGCGATTGGAGAAGCCCAGAAAAAGCTTGTCATTTTCAGAATTTTTAAGATCACAGTGATCACAGACCAGAAAACCCCCATAGAGATGACAAGCCGGGATGAAACCAGCAGTATGACATTGATACATTTGGTTCATGTGAGTGCTAGTCTAAGCAGCGCACAACACGGCTGAATTTTCAGAGAGTGTGAAGACAGGGATGTCGTCGCAATGCAACGCAGCAGCGTGGGTTCCCACATGCATCCCCATCCATCCCAATACCAATATAAAGTCAACACATGTCACAGAGGTTCTAGGCTCCTGTTGGGCCATCAGGATTTGCCGTCGGTAGAAATTTCTTGTGGCTCAAAGGGCCTGAAATCGTCGGGCCCATGAAAGCCGTGGCTGAAGAGATGGACTTTCAATTGCAGCTCTTGGACGATGTGCCTGAGGCAGGGGGATGAGGGGATGTATACCCGCAAACTTGCTATATGGAGGTTTCCATAAATATACCACAAAATGGATGGTTTATAATGGAAAATCCTACCTATCTAAATGAATGATTTGGGGGGAACCCTCCATTTAGGAGACTTCCATATAATTATAATTTCATAAATTGGATGAACATGATGAAGCATTGGATTTCTGTCTGTCGATTTATGGAGAATGTCAAACCCAAGAGATGGATGGAGATCCATCATACTGCAGATTCATGGCTGATACTTGGTTGTTTTCTATTGATTCTATTGACTTATAGATCTTAGAGTGGCACCAGGAGCCGCAAAATCAGGGCATGATTCAATGATGGCCATCCCCGCAGTTTGAAGGCCTGCGCCGTTTCTTACGATGATGTCCAGCTGTTGGCTGATGCTACGCACCCGAACCCAAAGCACGTCTTGGGAGTCCAGGCAGTGGGCTCGGGTCGTATGGGTCGTATGGGTCGTATGGGTCGTATGGGTCGTATGGGTCGTATGGGTGTTGGGAGCCGTGCTAGCTAGTGGCAGTGCTGGTCCCCCTACTATTTGGGTAGATTGTGGCAGATCGATGCCGATCTCAGATTGTAGATGCTAGCATTATACACCTTTTGAAGTTCCCTGACACGTCTTCTTACACCTACAAGATTGACTTGCTTGTTGATATTCCAAGTGTCTTCTTCTTCTTCTTTTTCTTCTTTAGGTGTTTTGGTATGACCTGACTGAGCGACTTCATCAAGCCGTGCTGCTCACTCTTCAGAGAGCTTCAACACCAAGCAACCTTAAGCAAAAACAGCAGTCCTGGTAGCTTCCCAATTTGTCATGCCCATGCATCCAAGAGAGGAGAATCATATTCCAAAAACCTATGTTTTGGGGCTTCCATGTGTTCTGCAGAATAGTTGCCTTTTCTGGTACCTGGCACAGCTTTTCATGCTCAAAAGAGATCCATTTGGCGCAATTTGAGCTCAGCAAAGCTGGATTCACTGCAAATCGACATGGATGCACTGTCGCTCTCAATCCAAGCCTTGGCTTTGGAGCCTCCAAATGCCGTTCTCTTGCGCCGATTTCCAGATGCCCTCCGTGCAGTCCATGCGATGGGCCTAGCGGCCTTGCCACTCCGCCAGGGTCGCCAGGGTCGCCAGGGTCGCCAGGGTTTGGATGCCCGGGATGCCCGGGATGCCCAGACTCCACAGGCTCAAGGGCCTCAAGGGCTTGCAGCTGAGAGGCTTCCGCTTGTGGAGACCGAAAGATCCGAAAGCAGATGCAGCGCTGAGCCAGACTGGTGCGAAGAAATGGATCGTCAGCCATAGATGTCCTTTTCCACACCGATTAGTCGATTGGGCATTTTGGTTTTTCCAGAAGGACATCATCGTGCCCTCTTTACCTGTTTTATTGTGAGTTTCTTTGATGAGATGATGAGATTACAACATTTTGACGTGTGTGGATGTTTGCTTATAACTTATTATCATCAAATCATACTAAATCTTATTAATGATTAATTATGATTTTCTTTGTTGAAGACAGGTTTTTCTCAGGGAGTCGTGGAGAGCACAGCGCGCAGCAAAAGCTGATGTTTGTGTTGTCCTAGATTTAGATAGGTGTAGACTATCTTTGCTTGGAGGGCTCGAGGGCCTAGTGTCCGACATTCTCAAGTACAAGAGAGAGGAGAGCAATCTCGTGGACTTCATACAAGGTATGTAGTTATTTGCTTATCAATATGTATGAATATACTCTGCAGAAATCTCTCGGTCCTCCAAGCGAAATTTCTGTTTCAAGACTGCAGGAAGCCATCCAGATGAAGCAAGTTGAAACTGATTTGAAACCAGCCGTAGCACGATGATGTTTTTGTACGTTCGTCCTTGCTTGTCTAGTGGTCTGTCATCCGGTTGCCACTGCGACCGACTCACGGCTCTAAGACTACAGCTAGTCTTGCCGTGTATGTGCCACAATGTCATCGTGGCCATGTCGGGCAGTCTGCAGAACTTGGCTTCAGATTCGGCGGGACTTTGAAAGTATATATTTAATTTGGAGGTGTGTTGATAAGTGGTGAAAAACGGGCGCCGCACCCCCACAGGGAGGAAGGTCAGCCAAATTGCAGGGCCCAGCAGGCTCAACGTATATTGGAAAATATTGGAAATGTTTTGAAATCACATGCGCCTTCGAAGCCAAGAAGACATTTTGAAGCGAACGTATCAGGCCAAGAACCAAGATCCATGGCCACCCTTCATTATGTTTAAAGCTTAGGTCCACTGGTGAGTGAATTCATGAAAAGATGCCTCACTGCCCCCATTGGACTCGGAGTTTGTGTAATACAGTCAGATGAAACTGGCACATGGCACGCTCCAAAAAGATCCAAAAAGTGTGTTTCGACCGGCGGATCGGAACTGTGACACAGCTTAAGATCCACTTAAATCACTGTTAAAAATCGGAAGACTGTTATTGACTTTGGATGATTTTCGGGGGGTTGTGCGTCATGAAACCCAGGTATTTATGGGTAAATCGTGCTGCCTTCCAGCTTCATTGGGTGAGTTTTCTGCCAGAAAAGCTCATCACCCTCATCCTAAAATCGTCTCCTGCCATCAATGGGGTATCCAACTTTAGCCATGAGAACATGAGAATTGCAGTGCCCAAAGCCTTAATTTTTGTAGGAGGTTTCAACAATATTTTCCTCTTTGGGATGAAGATCCCCTTAGCACAAACGGCTTTTTTTCTCCAGAGAGATTGAAACTATGCACCTCCAAACCATCAGCCATTTTCAGCCATTTTCTATGATTTTGGGGCGGGTCAATTGATGTGAGTGGATGTTAAATGATGTTAATGGATATTAGTGGCTCCGGTTGTCAATGGGCCCCCAGCTTGTGCCAGGTCATGGGACCTTTCGTCGTCCTCCGTTGCTGGGTGAGTGGTGCTGAAGCCGTTTCCGTGATCAACGAGCTGGAGCGGGTGCTGTTGGGTCACCATGGTGGCTGGATGCAGAGGTGATTGGTTGGTGGCCTATTTTTTCATTCATAAACATATTCATTATGTCTTTCACTTGGGGAACATGGGATGGGTTGAAATCGCCGACCAGAGCAACCTCTTGCTTGTTTCTATGTAACACCACTGAACAAGAAATTGTGTAGCATATAAAAAGCTTCCAACCACCACCGCTACAATCGAAAGCTTGCTGTCACTGCAGGCATGCGCTCTCTCATGTCGTTTTCGGGGTTCAGCATTTCAGAGGTGCAAGGATTCCATCGACAGATTCTATAACTGGAAGGCACACGCACAGAAGCCTTGGCAAAGTGCAGGAGATTTTCCTTCCTGAGTGCTCAGATGCCAAAGAGGATCCGCCCGAGAAGGCTCAAAGCATCTCGAGGTTTGTTGGACAACCCACCTGTTGGGTGCCTTTTTTCTCTGCAATGTTTCCTACTAAAGTGAAACATTGGGCATGCTGCGGCGAAACTCACAATGATCTTCAATTGGATCCAAATCTGCATTGCTGAGAATTGGTTTGCGATTCTTGGGAGTGGTTCAGGTTATTTCAGGTTGAATACAACACATTGACCATACATTGACCATTTTTGTTTGTCCAGGTGCCGCTTTTGCCTGTGTACCATTGCCCACCAGAATGTCCTTGGCTATTTGAGCGTGCTTTCCTGTACACAGGCGCGGCCATGAAAACTGGTTGTGCGTTTGTAAAGCTTGACCCGATTTTTTTTTCAGAAGTTAGCCGGCCAGCAACGAGACAATACCCGTGACCCACTCTTATACGTATGGGTCACGATGGGCCAGCAAATGACAGCAAATAATGCCAAATATTGGGTGCACGCTGGAGAATGATGGCAGACACATGCCGCAATGGCATGGAGTGTCAGGTAAAGAAGACAAGTCCCAACTTCAGCACTGGAACTACGACATCAGCGTCCAGTGTCTTGTTTCTTTTAAGGGAAGTGGTCAACTACTCACAGCTGGTGCGACGTTTCGCTTGTTGTTCAGATTGTTCGGTTGATACATTTACAAGGGACTGCATGATTTGCGCGCCAAAAGGTGGTCCAGATTGGTCCAGTGTTGAATAGCGCAAACATTTCAACTCCAACCATTTCCATCCATTTCCAACCAACAGGCTGATCAATTGGAGTGAACTGAGGTACAGTGGTGGCCACACGAGTGTGTTGACCTACCCACACTCTTTAGGACCGGCGACTTCGCGACTGCGACAATGCAGCTGCACCAGCTGGGACAACTGTTCCTGGCCGCAAGCGCGGCTAGATCACCCAAGCAATGCATGCCCTATTTAATTAGTTGATCTCAGATACGTTTTGTATATCTCATGTTCAACTTTCCAGAAGGTTGCAGGTTCAAGTTGGGTGAAAAATCTATATTGCATTAGATATGTTCTATTCTATTCTATTCTATCATTGTCTATCATATTATATCATATCATATCCTATTTTGTATTATTTTCTTCTACCAGTAGTACCGCACAAGGCGGTGGCGGAAGTTTCAAAAATAGGAAACCTATAGGAGAAGTTGGCTGTTGTGAATCAGGGATGGCAGAGCGAAGCCACTGATTGACCGAAAGGTGGTTGGAGTTGTGTTTGCTGGAATGGTTGCAATGGTTGCAGTGGTCACCTCACCCACAACTGCTGGATGTAGTGTGACGTACTGCAACTGTAGTTGTAGTTGTAGCGTAGTGGAGTTGTAGTTGTGGTGTAATGTAATTAGTGTAGTGTAGTTGCAGTCATATAGTTGTAGCTGTAGTTGTTTTGTAGTTGTAGTTGTTGTAGTTGTAGTTGTTGTGTGGTTGTAGTTGTTGTGTAGTGTAGTAGTAGTAGTAGTTGTTGTTGTTGTTGTAGTTGTAGTAGTAGTAGTAGTTGTTGTTGCTGTAGTTGTTTTAGTTGTAGTTCTAGTTGTAGTTGTTGTGTAGTTGTAGTTGTAGTTGTAGTTGTTGTTGCTGTTGTTGTTGTTGTTGTAGTTGTTGTAATTGTAGTTCTAGTTGTAGTTGTAGTTGCTGTGTAGTTGTTGTAGTTGTAGTTGTAGTTGTTGTTGTTGCTGTTGTTGTTGTTGTTGCTGTTGTAGTTGTAGTTGTTGTAGTTGTACTAGTTGTAGTTGTAGTTGTTGTGTAGTTGTTGTAGTTGTTGTAGTTGTTGTAGTTGTAGTTGTTGTAGTTGTAGTTGTTGTGGTTGGTGTTGTTGTTGTTGTTGCTGTTGCTGTTGTCGTCGAAGTTAGGGTAGTTAAGTTTGTGAAGTTAGTTAAGTTAGTCAAGTTAGTTAAGTTAATCAGTGTCTACTTTTTCGACATCTTCACGTCAAAAAAGGCTCAAAACCCGCAGTTTTTTACACTTTTGACTTCGAAATGTGCTCGCCACAACGGCGTGCACTTTTTCGACACTTTTTCGACATCTGAACCTCCAAAAGTGGTCCGAGACCGTCAGTTTTTAACACTTTTGACTTCGAAATGTGCTTCGCGCCACAACGGCGTGCACTTTTTCGACATCTCAACTTCCAAAAGTGGTCCGAGAATGGTGTGTTTTGATCCCCCATGTATAGCTCACTATAAAGTGGACATCCTTTGCGCTTATAAAGTGGGTTTCCTGTCGCCACTTTATATACCGACAATGGGGGATAAAGCCGTGTTTTGCGCGAGAAACATGCCCTTGGACCTGGAAGATGACTTTATTAGAACGTTGGCTTTCCAGTTTATACCCGGCTGGTTTCCCACAAGGAAACGACTCAATATATGCGGCAATGCATTTTATAGACCGTTGGTTCCCTTCAAAGAATGGCCATAATATGTCACACCATCCACTTTATAGAAACATGTCTCCCCAATTATTTCGGGCCAATATTTTTCTGTTGGGGCTGTATACATGGCAAAGCACTTTATAGAGTGAAACTTGCCCTTTAAGAAGAAGAATTTGTGCTGCATCCAGGGCACTTTATAGAAAGAAAATTGCGGCAGAGCATTTTATAGAGTCATGAGATACATCATCCAAGTCACTTTATAGAGCTGCCCAGGACCCCATTCACCCTGAGGACCCCCTTTCAAGGGAAATCTTCTTCTCTATAAAGTGGCCAGTCCAGGTAAAACCCCTGAAAAAACAGAATCTATGTTGGACTGGCCACTTTATACCCCATCCCCAAACAGAGAATGCCTCTATAAAGTGGCCAGTCCAGGTAAAACCCCTGAAAAAACAGAATCTATGTTGGACTGGCCACTTTATACCCCCTCCCCCGACAGAGAATGCCTCTATAAAGTGGCCAGTCCAGGTAAAATCCCTGAAAAAACACATTTTTACCTGGACTGGCCACTTTATACCCCCTCCCCCAACAGAGAATGCCTCTATAAAGTGGCCAGTCCAGGTAAAACCCCTGAAAAAACACATTTTTACCTGGAATGGCCACTTTATACCCCAGCCAGTCGGCTCCAGGACTTTGACCCGGAAACGGAAGGACTGACAACAAGGTAAAGGGGGAAAACTACAACGGAGAGGTACAACGGGAAGGCTACCACAAGAAAATGAGACATGTCACGTTTATATACGTTTATTGTTTTCAATGTGTCATATAGATTGGCGATGATTGGTATATTGAATATGTTGTAGATGTATTTTGGAACATATGTATACCTATGACACTATGATTCACACATCAATAAACATATATATATATATATATATAAATCATAAACACATGCCAAACCAAAAACTTTTAGCTGAGTATTGTATTCCCAATCTGTTGGCAAATGTCCAGCCGATTCACCATGCGTGACCCAACAAGATTCAAACTATGGATTGTTTACTTTCGAAACAAAAATTACTGGGTGAATCTACGTATATCTATGACGACAATCTCCCAAAATCATCCTAAAAATCTATGGACATCTATGGACCAAAACCACGGCCACATGCCCATCCTCTATAAAATGGTTTGCAAGAAAGTTCAGCTCTATAAAGTGGCTTGATCACGTCATTTCTGGCAGCCCCACCCTCTGTATAAACTGGCCGGTCCATGCCCATCCTCTATAAAATTGTTTGCAAGAACCAGTAAAAAAATATTTTCGAAAGTAAACAATCCATAGTTTGAATCTTGTTGGGTCACGCATGGTGAATCGGCTGGACATTTGCCAACAGATTGGGAATACAATACTCAGCTAAAAGTTTTTGGTTTGGCATGTGTTTATGATTTATATATATTTATATTGATGTGTGAATCATAGGTATACATATGTTCCAAAATACATCTACAACATATTCAATATACCAATCATCGCCAATCTATATGACACATTGAAAACAATAAACGTATATAAACGTGACATGTCTCATTTTCTTGTGGTAGCCTTCCCGTTGTACCTCTCCGTTGTAGTTTTCCCCCTTTACCTTGTTGTCAGTCCTTCCGTTTCCGGGTCAAAGTCCTGGAGCCCACTGGCTGGGGTATAAAGTGGCCATTCCAGGTAAAAATGTGTTTTTTCAGGGGTTTTACCTGGACTGGCCACTTTATAGAGGCATTCTCTGTTGGGGGAGGGGGTATAAAGTGGCCATTCCAGGTAAAAATGTGTTTTTTCAGGGGTTGTACCAGATTCTGTTTTTTCAGGGGTTTTACCTGGACTGGCCACTTTATAGAGGCATTCTCTGTTGGGGGAGGGGGTATAAAGTGGCCAGTCCAACATAGATTCTGTTTTTTCAGGTGTTTTACCTGGACTGGCCACTTTATAGAGGCATTCTCTGTTGGGGGAGGGGGTATAAAGTGGCCAGTCCAACATAGATTCTTTTTTTTCAGGGGGTTTTACCTGGACTGGCCACTTTATAGAGGCATTCTCTGTTGGGGGAGGGGGTATAAAGTGGCCAGTCCAACATAGATTCTGTTTTTTCAGGGGTTTTACCTGGACTGGCCACTTTATAGAGGCATTCTCTGTTGGGGGAGGGGGTATAAAGTGGCCAGTCCAACATAGATTCTGTTTTTTCAGGTGTTACCTGGACTGGCCACTTTATAGAGGCATTCTCTGTTGGGGGAGGGGGTATAAAGTGGCCAGTCCAACATAGATTCTGTTTTTACAGGGTTTTACCCGGACTGGCCACTTTATAGAGAAGAAGATTTCCCTTGAAAGTCTTCAGGGTGAATGGGGTCCTGGGCGCGGGGCGCGCGCGCGCGAAAAAGGTCTCAAAATTGAAGCCATTTTGGCGCGCGCGCGCGCGGCGCGCCCAGGACCGCTTTCACCCCAAGGACCCCTTTCAAAGGAAAGTGTGTTAGAGACATTCTCTGTTGGGGGAGGGGGTATAAAGTGGCCAGTCCAACATAGATTCTGTTTTTTCAGGGGTTTTACCTGGACTGGCCACTTTATCATTTTTACTTGGACTGGCCACTTTATAGAGGCATTCTCTGTTGGGGGAGGGGGTATAAAGTGGCCAGTCCAACATAGATTTTGTTTTACCATAGATTCTGTTAACGACTTCGATATAGATATTTGTGTGGCTGTCGGTTTCGTTCGGTTTCGAAGTCATTCGAAATCTTTTGGGTTCCCCATCGATGAGATCGATGATATTCCCCCAAAGTTTGAACGTGGCCCCTCAACTTTATAGACAATCATGTCGATGCTTCCATCGTCGCGATTAAGAAAATCATCGCTACTACAACGATGGTTGTTTAGTAGGAAATCCACATTATAGTGCCACTGTTCGACACAAGTATTACTATCTGGATGTTCGGCATCTCACTTTATAGTCATGGGACATGTTCACAAGTACCCTCAAAAACCTACATCGAGTTTTATGTTTTTACGCGGCCAGGCGACTTTATACAAACGTTGGATTTTGACTTTATAGACAAAACATGTTGGCTTTCCACTTTATAGACTCCAAACATGTGGCCATTCCAGTTTATACCAGGCTATTCTCTATAAAGTCGGCCGCAAAGCATCTAGCGAGCTGTACATGGGGGATGTGTTTTGTACATTTTGACTTCGAAATGTGCTTCGCGCCACAACGGCGTGCACTTTTTCAACATCTCAACTTCCAAAAGTGGTCCGAACCCCTAGTGTTTTTAACATTTTGACTTCGGAATGTGCTTCGCGCCACAACGGCGTGCACTTTTTCGACATCTCAACTTCCAAAAGTGGTCCGGACCTGAGGTGTTTTGTACCTTTTGACTTGGAAATGTGCTTCGCGCCACAACGGCGTGCAATTTTTCATCTCTCATCTGGCCAGCTGGCTCCGCACCCGCCGCTTTAGCGAGCCTACTTTTCGACCCTCCGGAGCCCCAAATCATTGGAAAACACAGTGTTTCGCGACTTTCCACCTTTTCGCGCATCTGCATCTTCTTTCTTCTGATCTTTTCTCTTCTGACTCTTTTCACCTCTGCTTTTCAACTGTCCATATTGTCGGAAGTTTCACTTCTAAACTTCCTTCGATCATATCATATCATATCATATCATATTATATTATATTATATTATATTATTATATTATATTATATTATGGTATATTATTCTATCATATAATATCATATAATATCATATAATATCACATTATATTGTACTATATCATTTCATATCATGTTAGATAATATTATATCCTATCATATTATATCCTATCATATTATATCCTATCATATTATATCCTATCATATCATATCATATCATATCATATTATATAACACGCACACACACACATATATATATATATATGTATGCATATTTTTTCATGCATATTTAAGTGTCACAATCCGCAGAATGACAGGTCCAATACAAGACAGGGATTTCTTGCTTTGGCTAGGACCTTTGCTGCCAGAGTCTTTCCTAACCGGCTGGGCTCATGGGATGACGGAGACGCCACCAGCATCCATGCTCCTTGCTGAATGCTGAGTGGAGGATAGTGGAGGTACGGTGCCATTTGAGGCTGTGTTTTGGGGATATGGATATCTTATGATATCTTACCTGGGGCCAACTTGGCGTTATAAATGGTTGGCACATGTTGGCACCTCCTATCTGGGTACCAGAATTTTCCCCTGAGCAAATCGATATATTCATCCCAGATGCTATCCCCCATGTGAGTTGAGACATGCTGAGACCAAACCATCCAGGCTCAGAGCCACGGAATCGCATCATCCCAACATGAGGTTTGGTGCCCATCACATGGAGCTCCACACTCACAAGCCAGGACCTGCCATTCGAGAAGGGCACCCTGATCCAATGATGTCCAATAATGTTCATGTTTTTCTGGAGCACGTTCAAAAGTCAAGAATGTGCGATATAAATCGAAGTTGTCACAATCGTTAGCTGTCTGCATTCGATGTGATGAGGCGACAATTCTAGGGAAACATAAACATGGAAAATATGGACACACATGGAAAAATACTTTCTTCAGGCTCTTTTCCTTCCAGGACTGTGGGGAACCCGCTTTGCAGTCTGGGCGCCAAGTGCACATTCTGTGAGCTTGGTGGGTGACTTCAATTTTTGGGACAGCCGAGCACATCCTATGTTTTGCCGGGAGAAGTTTGGCGTGTGGGAGATCTTCCTGCCAAAGTGGGATCTCAGAGGCCCGTGATGTGGCACTGAGTCTATCAGTCATGCATAGTCATGCATAGTCATGGGTAGTCATGCATTGTTGCTCAGAGTGGTTGTGGCGATGTGTATCTGGATTTATGTTTTTTCTTTTGAATTTCTAATTTTACTCTTCAAACTGAAATCGACACCGGCCCTCAATTTCAAAAATTATCTAATCACTTGGGCTTTACATGAGTTTGCGGTTGGTTTTGCGGCTTGAGCAATGGCAGGCCAGAAGTATGCCTACCACATTGACACACCACTTTTTAAGGAGATCATCAAGGCCCTATGAGTCTGTCGGCATGACTAATTACTGTACCGAGTTACTGTACAAATAGTTTTGAGTATGTTTGAGATATATACTCACGCATGTATGTATATTTACATTATATAAAATATATGCTAATCGTGCTCACAAACACACACACACACATATATTTATTATTTTTATTAATGCATACATGCATACATACATACATACATACATACATATTACATTACATTACATTACATTGCATTCCATTGCATTGCATTGCATTACATTACATTACATTACATTACAGACATACCATACATACCACACATACCATACATACCATACATACAATACATACATACATACATACATACATACATACATACATACATACGGACGGACGGACGGACGGACGGACGGACGTACGTACATACATACATACATACAACCATACAGACATACACACATACACACATACACACATACACACACACATACATACATACATACATACATACATACATACATACATACATACATACATACATACATACATACATACATACATACATACATACATATGCGAATGGAGTGTAGGCTACGGACTATCACACACTCCTATGTATTTCAACTCCTTATTGTCCACCGCCAAGGGATGCATCGAATTGCACCTTTGGCTCAAGATCACTGCAAGCACCAGAAGGAAAATATAGCCATGCTGAAGCCGCAACTCCTGTGCCGTCGTCACTGAACGCAACTAAACATCAGAACATAATCGGGGAGATAACCTCCGATTCGCAGGTTATCAGCCGTAGGACTCCTACGGAGCCTACGAGCGGGTAGCCGCGGGCCTTACAGATGACTGAGCAGGATAGCAGCGATAATGCATTTTCTTTCTCTGGACATGCCGTTGCACCAGCTGCCGGCACGCAGTCAAATTCTTCACAGAGTATCGACACTGGTGGAAGCGATGCCTCAGAACTGAGAACAAGCCTACCCAGGCGACCTCTGGTTGCTCCTAGAGGGAGACAAATTTCGACAATGCAAGCAATTGAAGATAGGGACAGTACACCTGGAAAGAGAAGATCATCTGCACGACAATTGTCGCCTCCGATGACTCCAAGGACTAAGGCAAAGACTACGTCGTCGAATCCGCCTTCACCGATTCAGGACGCTACTCCATCAGGGACAGGATCTTATCAACAAGTGAACGCCCCATCAAGTGGTAGCGACATCTTCACTGCCTATCAGAGTGAATTAGCTGAATACAAGACATCACTGGAAAGGGCCACTGAAGAAGAATCCGTACTTCAGGCAAGATTGAGCGAGACGACAGCATATGCCTATCAACAATTTAATTTCCTGGAAAGCACCACTCATCAAGAGATGATGTCGATGACCGAACAACTCCAGATGCTGAACTTCGAGTTACAGGCTGCACAACAAGAAGACGAAGGTGCGACCTACAGGATCGAAGAGTTGGAAAGGTATCAGACTATGTCGAATGAAGCTGCATCTCATTTGGAATTCAAATATTCACGACTACGTTCGGAATTCGATGAACAAATGGGACAAGCGAACGCAATTATGGTGCATGTGGGCGCTGATGCGAATGCTCACATCAATCAACTCAGACTGGAACTGGAAAACGCAGAGATGAATGCCAAGCAGGAAGCTCTAGCGGTCGGCTATGCTAACGACCAGACATGTGCTTTACAGATCGAGATGCTCGAGGTTGCTAATCAGAACCAGACGATGAAGCACACCATGGCCATGAACGTCAGGCGACTGGAAACTGAGCTCGATGCTGCTGACATGAAGAGGGACGAGATCATGAAGGAGTTCCGTAGTAACATAAGATCTGAACATGACCGTTATGCAGAATGTGAACATCACTTAGCTTTGGAAGAATCGCAACTTCGATTGCAGGTGATCCACAGTGAGAACTTACAATCTCGACTAGCGATTTCTGAGAACAGGGTTTCTGAAGAATCTCTAGCTGAATCAGGTGGCATGCGGGACATGAGGATCATGGGACTACGTTCTGAACTACACATGAAACAAAGTCTTTTAGATCGAATGCAACAGCAACTGACTGAATCGAAGAATCAGTATCATGAACTTTCCTGTCAACAAGCCAGAAGATCATCACCAAGCAGATCACCGCATGGAGGACCTCTCTATGAGATGTACATGCAAGCCGTGCGTGAACGTGACAGCTTGAAGGAATCTAAGGCTGAGGTTGACAAGTTGTACTTGCAGAATAGATCTGAACTCATTGACACTGAGGACCTGCTCAAAGTCTTCCAGCGAAACTTTGATGAAACTGGTAAGAAATATCAAGATGCTCTGAACAAGATCGATCACATGAGCAACAATCCGAATGTGACAAGTAACTTGTTCGACAGTTTGCACAATGAAATCAATGACAGGGACACAGCTATTGCTCGCCTTCATACTGAACTTGAAGCTCAAAAGGACTCTCTTGAGCGTGCTCACAGGGATGCAGGTAAGTCCATCAAGATGTTGAACGATAGAAGACTCGTGATCAAAGGTGCGACTGACTATTCCATTCCTGAAAGCCATTTGACCGAGATGCATCAATTGGCCAATGAGCGTTACGCTGAGGTAGAAGAAATGTCGAGCACCATTGCTGCCCTGAAGTTGGAAAACCAAGCTCATTCTTCTTCATCAATGAATAGACCGACTACATTACATGGGTACCCCAGTAATGCCATGCCTCGGAATGAATGTGAAGAGAAGTGTGCCAAACTGAAAGCAGAGTTGGACGAGATGAAGCAAGAGAGGAACGCTGAAGTTCGAAATCTTCAAGATGAGTTGAAGAAGATGGAAGATCGTAAAGATTACTATAAGAACAATTTCTCTCAAGCTGAAGATCGTGCCAATGATGAAGAGCAGGAATACCGAGCAGAAGCTGAAGCCTTCGAGAAGCTCAGGAACGAGTACAACACAAATGTCAAGGAGTTGGAGAACCTTGAAAGGGATAGATCCAAGTCATCCGTATCTCTAAGAGAAGCCGAAAAGATCAGCCTCCAACCCTGGCCTAAGACCACTGAACTTTCATCCTGGAAGGGAAGTGTCGTTCATGAAGTTTGCGTTGCAAGTGGAGATCGAAACTATGAAGATTGGAAGGCGTGGTTAGCTCCGTGTCTTGCAGATCAACCTGACTTGGAGGCGCTGGCCAAAGCTCCTGATGTGAGATTCCAATCCATTGATGCCAAGCTCTCCAATGCCTTGAGGAAAGTCATTGACAATGCTGGGGACAAGTCTATGCAAGTGAAGTATGACATGTCCATGAAGAACCAATTGTATGGGAGAAGTGGGGACTTCATCAAGGGACGAGAACTATTTGCAATGATATTGATTAGCTTCAAGTCACCTGACCACACTGAAGTTCTCTACAATGCCCATCATTTGTATATGTTCAACTACTATGGAGATGACCAACTTGAGGCATTCTACAACAAGTGGCTTGACATCGTATACAATATGAAACATGATGATCTGCCTTCCAACAATTCCCTGCGTGACACTTTGTTCCGGAAGATTGAACATTCAAAGCTTATGGCCTTCGATATCAACCGATACAAAACCTTTGATGAAGGGCATCCTGAGAAGACCTATGCTTACCTAACTGGTATGATCAAGGGATACATAGCACGAGGGAAGCAAGAACGACTGTTGAAAGATAGAGAACGTGCAGTGAAACTGTCATTGTCCTCTAACAAGACGACACCTGCCTTAGAAGATGCAGACAAGCCTGCCGCTCCCGTCAAGACCAAGAAGGAGAATGAAGCGGCCGCATCGTCTACAGGTGATCCTCCCAAACGTCCTAAGGCGAAAGCGAAGAGTGAAGCTGCATCGGTACTTCCTACACCTTCTCCGAAATTCCATGCCGACAAGAACAACAAGAAAGGCAAAGGTGGGAAGGGAAGATCATCTTCACCCGTTGACAAGAAGAAGATATTCTGTAACTACTTCTTCAACAAGGGAGGATGCAACAAAGGTGACAAATGTCTTTACAGTCATTCTCAGAAGGTCTATGATGCCAAGATGAAAGGTAAGAAAGGCAGAAGCGGAAGTCGAGATTCATCAAGAGGGAAAGGTAGAGGAAGTTCATCTTCAGCTGGACCCAAAAAGAAGGTATGTTGGAATTGGCAAGAGGGTACCTGCAAGTTCGGAAGCAAGTGCAAATTCCTACATGCAGATCGATCGCCTTCAGCATCCTCAGAGAGAACCAGCAAGAAGACACCAAAGAAGAAGGCGACTCCCATTACCATTGATTCCTTCTTTGATAGCGACAATGAAGATTCTATGGATTATACCTCACCGAGGATAGCCAGTGCAAAGAAGTCTTCTGATGATCGCAGGATCTCATTTGATCTGGAACCTGAGGTGCACGAGATCGCCATTGAGGACTACCAGGAGGGACTACCCAAACGTATGTATCGTGACCCCAACAAGCAATATGTCTTCTGGAAAGTTGATGATTTGACCGACGATCAGTCCAAGTCCGACAACACCCTCGGTTCAGTCCGAGCACGGGCCAAGGCTATCATCATGGACAGATGTGGACTCCATCGTTTCGTTGATGAAGTTAGAATCATCATTGGCCCCAAGTTCGACATGTTGATCAAACTGGACTATAATCATGATGACTTGACTTTTATTGAAGAGCTTGTTGAACATGAAGCTGGAAAATCCCTCATGAAGTCCAAGAACGTAATGTGCATCTCACTACCAGTGCAAGCCAAAGATCGTAGATTCATCCTGGATTCTGGCAGCGGACACGATCTGATTTCTGCAAGGAAGGCCGAGAGGATGAACTTGAAGCAACGAACTTGTGATCCTATCATGTTCCACACTGCCAACGGTTCAACTGCTACTCAGACAGAAGCGGAGATTGACTTGGGAACCTTTGATGTGACCTCTCATGCCTATGTACTGGACGACACTCCGTCCGTGATGTCTCTTGGGAAACGATGCATGGAAGAAGGATATTCCTT